AATCTGATATGTTCTGATGACTGAATTATAAATAGGATTTTAGTTATGTTTTTAAAGTAAAGACATCAATGATAAAATGTTACTATATTGACAAATCTGAACAATATTTGCATTTTTCTCTCTCTGCTTATAGAAAGTGAGGCTTTTGCTGTGACATCCGGTGAAAAACGCGCCATAGGCAAATATAGGATACAACACAATTTTTCATTTTTTCTCCCTTTTGGGGATGAAAATATACTGGTACTGGGTAGGTTGTTTGCCTTGAAGTTAAAACAGTTCCTCCCCCCTCCCCAAGAATATTGGCTGTTGGCATAAAAATCTTATTTTTAAAACAGTTAAATATCCTCAAAAAGTCAATAATTTAATATAAAACATATAATAAATATTGACTTATATGACTTTCTCCACAATACCCTGTCACATTGAAATAGTGTTCTTGCATATACCAAAGATAGCTTGCTTCCATTCAGGGAGTTTGCACTCCCAGTGGTTATACTGTCACCTAAAAAAATAGTGTTGCTATGTAAAAATGATCAAACATACATTGTGATTATAATTTTTGTAAAATATCTCTGCAGAGGAAAACCAATTAGCAGTTGGCGCATTACAAGGAATCACTTTGGAAAACAGCAAATACAAGATACTTCGGTATCTTTTAGTTTTGCTGGTCATGTGAGACCTAATTTACCACTATGGATTTCTAGGCACTGAATGCTTCAGTGCAGAGAATCCTGTTCTTTGCTCAAGGAAAAATAGCTAGAAGATTAGGTATAAAGAATGTCTTCTTGTCACAAGTTGTTTCAAAGTCCAACTCTCTTTGCCTCTTTTGCGGAAAGGGAAGCATGAATCTTGTGTCTTCAGTTTAAAGCAGAATGCCTCTGTGTCGCATAAGGCCTTTCAATTGGACTGTAGGCAAATCCCAGAACCTAGTGAACAAGACTGTCCAGCCATGCTAGTCCAGACTTCTAGGGTGCAGAGAGACATAATGTTTGACCTGTTCCAAGAATGTCACTGATTTGGAACTGGGTCACAATTGTCCCTACACATAACACTGCGAAGGGTTTGAAGTAGAATGCTCACCTTTTAGGGATTGCGCTACTGCTGAAACAGAACTGGGGGGCAGTCGAGTGCCCAGACTATCATGCCTTTGGGGGGAGAGGGGGGCTGGATAGGTTTCCAGGTGCTGGGGGGCTATATGGCCCCCTACTTATGGTTTTGGGGTGGGTGGGTACTGCATGTTCTGGGGGCCTCCCAAGATTGCCACAGTTTTTTACCCCCTGTCTTGAAAGCCGCTGTGTTGATTTTTATCTCCTTGCTCAAGGCTCTGCACTTTGGGGTGCTAGGCTTATTTGAGGCAAGGGGAAGGCAAGCCGCATAGGAGCCCCCCCCAAACGCATGGCAGCCCCATCACTCCTCCCCCTCACCCCAAATGAGTGTGGCATATCAGAATGCAGGGTCTGAGAAGTCAAGGTGATAGTGTAGTTTTCAAGGCAAGGGTTCTAATGTTGCAGGGGACTCTGGAGCATGCACCCCTCCAGAAACCACAAGTAGGGGGGTACAAAGCCCCCTTAGCACCTTGCAGGGGCAGATCTAGAGGAGGTTCAGTGGCATGGTCACACACCTCCTTTTGGACCATGCCATGGGAGCAGCAGTCCTTGATGCAGGTAAGAATATCTCCTTTCCCAGTCCTCCCTGTCCTGCCTGCCACTGCTGCCATCCCAGCTGACAGGCAGAGTAGCGGGGTGAGAGGGGAGGCCTCCAGAGCCATTTATGCCCTGCTTCAGCCAGGGACAGTTGTGGCAGGAAAGTTTCCCCTCCACGCACTTGCTCTTGAGCAAACAGGGAGACACCGCTCTCCCCTCCCAGACAACTGGGCAAAGCAGAGGAAAGTGTCAATTGCTGCCGCTAGAGCAGGGCAGGAGAAGCTGAGGAGCCCTTCCCCCCCCCCCCATCAGCTGGGGGGCAG